GACTGGTACAGGACATGTATGAAGACAGCACGACAGTGGTGAGATGTGCTGTAGGAGTGACAGATAGCTTCAAGGTGGAAGTGGGATTGCATCAAGGATCCCCATGGACTATGATGTTTGCAGATGACATTGTGATTTGTGGTGAGAACAGGGAACAGGTGGAAGAGAACTTGGAGAGGTGGATGTATGCACTTGAAAGAAGACGAATGAAAGTCAGCCGTAGTAAGACAGAGTACGTGTGTAAATGAGAGGGAGGCCGGTGGAACAGTGAGGCTACAAGGAGCAGAGGTCACAAAGGTGCAGGACTTCAAGTACTTGGGGTCCACTGTCCAGGAAAATGGGGAATGTGGTAAAGAGGTGAAAAAGAGAGTCCAGGCAGGATGGAGTGGATGGAGAAAAGTTTCAGGAGTGATTTGTGACAAAAAGGTGTCAGCAAAGGTCAAAGGAAAAGTTTACAAGACAGTGGTGAGACCAGCTATATTGTATGGTCTGGAGACAGTGGCATTGACAAAAAGACAGGAGAAAGAACTGGAAGTGGCAGAAATGAAGATGCTAAGATTCTCCTTAGGAGTGACAAGGCTGGATAAGATGAGGGATGAGATAATTAGAGGTACAACCCAGGTTGAAAAACTGGGAGATAAAGTTAGGGAGGCCTGATTGAGATGGTTTGGACATGTCAAGAGGAGGGACCGTGGGTATATTGGTAGAAGGATGTTAGAAATGCAGCTGCCAGGAAAAAGACAAAGAGGAAGGCCAAAGAGGACATATATGGATGCTGTTAGAGAGGACATGAAGGTAGTTGGAGTGAGGACAGAGGATGCAGAGGACAGAGTGAGGTGGTGGAGGATGACTCGCTGTGGCGACCCCTGAAGAGGGAAAAGCCGAAAGAAGAAGACTGAGGAGTCTACTAATACTTTGTTCTCTCAAATCCCATCCCAGACTGCAGAGTTTGCACCCAAGCTCCCATTGTTTCACACTGAGCTCAGTATTTTCTCTTTAAAACCATAAGGGGCCTTTTTAAGTAATCAGATTAGTTAAAAACACTGTTGACACTATAATTTACATGTGACAACCTCCCTGTTCAGGATTTATCTTTTGAATACAACCTGCAGTTTGCTCACCATTTTTGTTTGAGGCGTAAGGGCCCAGCGTACGCCATCCAAGACTGAACAGTCAACTGGCGGTCACATGGTTGCAGGATGTTCGTTTTCACACACATAGTCCATGACACAAAGGGCACAGAGCTCTTGGGAAACCCTTCCTGCTGCAATACACGCCACTGCACGGGTTTCTTCCCGCCAGAGCCTCCACTCCGTCCCTGCATTCACTGATTGGCCACCAATCTATCATGAAGAGAGCGCCACACTTTTCAGCAGACTCCTCCATACACAAAGTAGTTTCTGTTCATTTCACTTTTAGTGTTTGAAGAGTCGTAAAGATGAATTTCCGAGCGCTTTTCCACATTGACGAATGCACCCACAAACTTCTGACCAATCACACAATACTTGGCACATACTCCTGTGAGAAAAAAATTGTCGTGGGCCTTGTGTCAAGAACAGTGAACGAAGTTACTCTGAGAACAAAATGACGCGATTTTCATCACGCAACTACGTCAATGAGAGCCGATTTCGCCGCTTCAGATGGAATATGCAAGATCCTTATATTGCGTGGTTCTGACTGCCTGTCTTTTATACAGTAAGAGTGCTGCCAGGGAGTAGGAGACACAGGTGTGTGGTTACCACGGTGACCCTAATGAGACACTGACATGTTATCCTCTTTACACTGCTGGTGGATAGAGAAGGCAAGCCTGTGATTGGGAGGTTGCAGGCTCGAATCCCAAGCTTCTGGGTGGGGAAAGTGAAGCATCTACATTTCCACCCTCATTTGCCCCACCGTATGCCCTAGAGCAAGGTGTGTGTTTGTTGTGGTGACCCCTGAAGAAGGGAGCAGCCGAAAGTGGGAAAAAAAACAATCTATATAAACATGTGGCATTTTGTCAGCTTAAATAAGTGATTTCCAAAGTTGACGTCAAAAGAAGCGTCAAGTGAAGATGGTCAGAGTTGATGGGAAGATGGATGGGGCCAAATACAGGACCATTCTGGAAGAAAACCTGTTTGAGTCTGCAAGAGACCTGAGACTGGGACGGAGATTTATCTTCCAACAAGACAATGATCCAAAACATAAAGACAAATCTACAATGGAATGGTTCACAAATAAACGTATCCAGGTGTTGGAATGGCCAAGTCAAAGTCCAGACCTGAATTCAATCGAGAATTTGTGGAAAGAGCTGAAGACTGCTGTTCACAAACGCTCTCCATCCAACCTCACTGAACTCGAGCTGTTTTGCAAAGAAGAATGGGCAAGAATTTCAGTCTCTCCATGTGCAAAACTGATAGAGACACACCCCAAGAGACTTGCAGCTGGAACTGCAGCAAAAGGCGGCGCTACAAAGTATTAACGCAAGAGGGCTGAATAATATTGCACACCCCACTTTTCAGTTTATTTGTTAAAAAAGTTTGACACATCCAATAAATTTTATTTCACTTCTTGATTGTGTCCCACTTGTTGTTGATTCTTCACAAAAAAATTAAAATTTTATATCTTTATGTTTGAAGCCTGAAATGTGGCAAAAGGTTGAAAAGTTCAAGGGGGCCAAATACTTTTGCAAGGCACTGTATGTATATATATATATATATATATATATATATATATATATATATATATAT